TCCCCCACGCGGCCCTGGTGGCGGGAGGGGCCCGGCCCCCCTGGCCGGGGTCTGCGGCCCAGGCGGCGGCTCAGTCCCCGCCCCGCCGCGCCGCGGAGGTGGATCGCAGAGCTGGACGGCGAGGGGTGAAGCCACCCAATACCCCCAAACTAAGCATTGCAGGTCCGAGATGAAATACACCCCTTTCATACGCTGTGGGACTAAAGAGATAAATGGGGAAACTGAGGCCAGTGGTTAGGACCAAACACACTGAACTAGTGTTGACAGAATTTTCTGGGTGAATTGGTGGCAGGGCCGTTGACAGGGCCTGAGAGTCCTGGCTCTTGGCCCAGGGTATTGTCCACCTGCAGGGGAGAGGAAGTGTGTGTGCTTGTGTACAGATGGACTGAGAGGAAGCAGGGACACTGCCCAGGCCAGTTAGGGAGAAGGCTTGGGGGTGCTCCATTTTACAGGTAGAAAAGCCTCATGTGAAGCCCAAACCCAAGGTCCCAGGGGAAAGACTGAGGCTGCCCCTGACTCAGTGTCCCTGTCACCAGCCCACTTGGCCTCATCCCCTCAGAATGAAGCTGAGCTCAGGAAAAAAGTACCTGGTGAGTCAGACTGTGCCCCCCCCCACCACTATGTCTGACTCAACCGAGGTGATGAGAGGGCAGGGAGAAACTCTGCCCGGTTGTGCCAGGGAGCCCCCTGGGCAATGTGCCCATATGGGCCACAAGGCAGATCTTTCCAGCAAAAGGGCGGGTTAGCCAGACAGAAACAGGGAGAGCCCAGCCCAGACAGCCAAGGGGAAACGTGACAGGGCTGGTGGGCAGGGAGAGCCGGAGCGAGCCAGCCAGAAAGCCTAGGCAGGACTGGGCTCAGGGTAAGTCAAGGGTAGCTGGAGGTCTAGGGTATGGTGACAGCAAGGAAACTGAGGCACTCAGAGGAGCTGCTTGGAGTGAGGTGAAAGAGCTACAGAACGTACTTATATAGAGAATATATAGTCTGCAATTCTGTAGCATACATGTGTTGCATATCTCCTTGTACCCCTTTTAGGCCAAACTTCCTCAGCTGCCCCATCCTTCTTGACCCAGTAAGTTTGGGCCAGACAGTCCCCAATGCCAGCTGTGTGGTGATTGGGATTTGGGAAGGTTCTGGGACCTTCTCAGTGAATCATTCTATCTTATTCCTCTTCTACCCCCAGGCATCATGAAAAGAAAGAGGACAGTGGGTATCTTTGAGGGCTGTTTCTTCAAGGGCAGAATGAAGGCAATCCCTGTTACAAAGCTCAGAAAGAAGTTCAGGGGTTTTGTGCGGGGCAGTGCTTATGGTAAAAGTAGTACATGAATGATTTCTTTCCCTTCTCATTAGGTAGGGAGGGGGAGGAGCAGAGAAGGGACCAGAAACAGAAAAGGGACCTGCTGTGTGTGGCTTGGGAGGGGGGAGCTCTGGGGGCCCTGATAGTGACAGGCGAGGTATAAATAGCTTGGGCCCTGCGGCTCATGTTCTGTCGGCTGCCTGTGACGAGGTGCTCAGGAATTCCACTCTCCTATTGGCACCCCCCATCTCCAGAACGCTCATTCCCCCCATGCCACCTTTGTCCCATGTCCAAAACCAACCATCCGGCATCAGTGCTGACCGTCTACTTGAGAGGCTGAGCTCTCTTGTGGAGAGATGCCCAGCTGGAGACACATGACACATAGCTGGGTCTCACAGTGAAGTGTGTGTGCAATGTGTGCGTGTGTGTGTGTGTAAAAAGGTAGACATTTGATACCCAGTCTGAGGTGCCCAGCTCAGGGTTCAGCGAGGTTGTCTTTGAAGCTCTGATGAAGAAACTGAGGTACAGATCTGAGACATTCCTCCTGCGGAGGAGAGACAAGGGTAGGGTGGGTTTGCTTGGAGCTGACAGCCTCTTTACAGACTCTAATGGCTCACAGTCCTGTTTTGTGGGCATTACCTGAGGTCCCCCAGTAAGTTAAGGGCGTCTCTTAAGGAGGGGGGATTTCAGAGGGAAGCCAGTGAGTGAAGAAAGAACTCCCAAGTATAGCCTCCCCCCCTCCCCTCCCTTCTCTCTTCCCTCTCTCTCTCTCCCCTCTCTCCCCTCTCTCTCCTCTCTCCCCCCATTCTCCTTCCCTCTCCGCAAGAGAGGTCTGTGTGCGGCTCCAGGGGAGTAAGTGAATGGTTTGGCAGACAAGGGTGCCCAGTGCCAAGGATGGTTCCCAGCATCCTTCTCACCCCCTCCCACAGAAACCCGAACCTGTTGCTCTCCAGGATAAATCGGGGCCTGACTCAGGCCCCAGCCAGCCAGTCACAGTCAGCCTGACCCAGGCGCAGGCTGGTGACTCAGCCCTCAATATAGCCCATGAGCCTGGCCCAGCCATGAAAGCTGGAACAGACCGTGCACAATGCTGGTCCTGGGGCCTGCCAAGTGGGGCCCCCTCCCTGAGGAGGGCTGGTGTGCGCCTCCCTGAGTCAGGCAGGGGCACAGAGAGGATTTACAGGGGGTTTCATCAGCTGAGTATTTGGGGCAGTGCTGGCTGGGGCCACAGGCCTTTTATAGCCCCCTGACTCACCACCCACTGACCTGTCTCAGGAGACCAGGTTGCCTGGCAGTTCACCTGGCCCTGCCTTTCCCGTCAAGGGGCACTGCTTACCAGCCACCGACATTGGCCAGATTTAACTTGGGCTGAGCAGAATCGAAGTGACCAGGTCTAATGGGCCATGTTTGAGAATCTTGTTTTTCTGGAGCCAGGGACATTTCCATAGTCACCTGGGATGATACCAGGTTGGCCAGGCTCATAGTTGGCACTTTGATCAATCAGTGATACTGACTGTGGCCCTGATTTAGGTGCCAGGGACTCAGCAGTAGGCTAGAAAGAGTCAGAGGCTGAATTCCAGCCTCTTCACTTCTCACTCTTGCAACCTTGGGCAGGTAATATAATGCTCTTGGGCTTTGGTTTTCTCCTCCGTAAAATGGAGTTAATAGTACCTTCATATGTTGTTTTTTGTGTGTGTGTGTGAGAAGATGAAAGGAGATAACATGTGAAGAGAGACCTCTTTACTCTGGCAACAGTGTGTCAACAAGACCAGGAGGCACAAAGCCCCCAGTGATGAAGAGGATGGCTTTCTAAAATGAGCCAACAGGGGCAAGTGTCCTAAAGGGAAGAGTTCTGTATTCTAAGCAAAAAGGCTGGGGAAAGGCAGGACCACCTTCCTGCCGTTGCTCAGGCTCTAGGCTCAGGCCTGGGAAGGAACAGATAAAGTCTCAGCTGGAGGCTGACTGCCTACCAGACCATGACCTCCATCTTGGCTTCTAATTCCAAGTTAAATCAGTGATCCTCACTGGTGGGTAATCTTCCAGTCCTTTCCACCGCACATGTTCTCCAGCCAACTGGTGGCTGGAGTAAAGTGGATAGAAAAAAACCACAAACAAACAAACAAACAAAAAACAGGGTCTCACTGCACTCAAGAGCAAGGGGCCAGTGGTACTGGGTGGCTTGTGAAGGCATTGCTCCAATTTAGGTTACAACTGAGAACACACCACCTAACATAACTGAGTGCAGTTCTTCTCTAATTTTACTGTGCATACTAATCAACTGGGGATCTTGTTAAAATGCAGATTCTGTGTCAGTAGGTCTGAGGTGGGGCCTGAGAGTCTGCCTTTCTAACAAGCTAACAGTGCTGATGCTGCTGGTCTGTGGACAACGGAGTAGCAAGGGGCTAGGCCACCCTAAACCAGTACTATCTTCAAAGAGAAGACATTTAAAGGGAGGCAAAAGGAACGCGTAGCACTGCCCTCAATCTGCCTAGGTGCAGCCCTGTTTATAGGGACTGGTCACGATTTTAGCACTGGCCCCAGACCCCCTAGGAAAAGGCCAGGCAAGAAATGAATTCATTTAATGCTTAGCAGGGCCCACCACAGTGCCTTATTCTATAGGTATGTGTGGCTTTGGATTATTTGGGTGAATGGAACAAACTCCCTGGCATCAGGTAGAAAAGAGGCAGAGAGAAGGGTTCCAGGAAACCAGCAGTCACGGCACTGTTTTGCCCACTGTGGCTTATGAATACACTCAGGGGCTCTCCTATGGAAACATTCATATGGAACAACCAATCACGAGGGGTTCCACAGAAACGAAGGTAAACAAGGACACTCATAAGTTATCCTCATCATTCTGCTTGTCCCCACTTTGATCCACTCTCCATCCTTTGCCCTGCTCTCAATTCCAGCAGACTGACTTTACGTCACTTGGGCATCTCTGCTCTCTGGCTCCCAGCTGGGATTAGCCAATGAGAGGTGCCAACAGGAAACTGGCAGGTGGGAAGAGAGGGTGTCAGGCTCTGACAAGGGTTGTACCCTGCCCCCGCCGTGGGTCTGGGGTCCCTTCCCAGGCCTCTAGCCCTCGCTTCCTCCCCAATCTCCTTCGGGCCGAGGATGGGAGACACTGTTGCTGGTGCCTGGGGACTTCACTATTCCTTGCTGGTTCTCCTAACTCTGCCCGTGTACGGAGTCCCTTCACTAAACACTCCTCAAGTTAAAGCTCCTGAGTGTGCCACCTATTCACTGCAGGACCCTACATGATTAGGAAGTCCTCTCTGAGAGCGAATCCCATGGGGTGTCACAGGGCCTAAGTCACGAAGGCTCATGTGCATGCAGATCTTCTCAGGGCACTCTTCTCACCGCAGATGGGTGTGGGTCATTTGGCTCCCCTCACAGAGGGTACCCAGCTCATTCCATTGCCCTGTGCTCGGATGAGCTCCTGGAGACAGGGTTTCTAGGTGCAGACCAGCGCATCTGTGATCCGGCTGGCAGCACAAGGAGCCCCCCTCATCTCTGAGGTCATCTGTAGGGTGAGAAATCATATTTAGGAACCAGATCCTTATGTGAGGTAGCTGGTTAAAGGGGAACCGCTCTGCTCCGGTTGTGTTGTGAGGTATTTATAAGAAATAAAGAGCCACAAAGTCTCAGGTAATTAGGCTGATATTTAATCACACGGAACCCAGGTTCTTATACAAGGCAGGAGATGGCAGCCGGCAGCGCCCCATAACCTTTCCAGCCTGGGTGACTGAGGCTAAGGAGATGGGGACACATGGGACACATGGGTGGGGTGGGGGCTCTGGCACAGTGTGTCCTGCCCAAAGCTGGGGGTAGTGGCCACTGGGGATCTGCCCCCTCGGCTGGCCCAGGTCTGCCATCACTCCATGAGGCAGAACTCGGACTCCTGCGGTCGCATGCTGGGTAACACATACAGAGCCACAGCCGCAATAGCCAAGAACACCACAGGCTTCCACATCCCAAACATGTTCTGTGGGGACCAAAGACAAATGGTGAGTGCCCGGCCTTCTGAACCCTTCCCTAAGCCAGAGGCTCCCCTGTCTACTGGCACTGGAGAGACATCGGGAACCTCACGGTCTGGTCTCTCTCACCTCCTGGGTAACTGCCGGAGACAATGTGGTCTTAGTGCGGGCGGTGCGAGGTATCTGGAACAACGCTAGGTGTACCACCTGAGGGGACTGCGTGTATTCATGCCCAACGGAATGAGGAGAATACCAGTTCCTGGGTGTAGAAGCGAGCTCAGGAGGCAGACCAAAGAGTATCCGGATGGTTGCAATGAGAAAGGATCAAGTGCCACGGCAAGAAAAAGAGAGTAAACTGGGGCCTTTGGGAAAAGCAGCAGTGCCTCGTTGGCTTTACGCAGGAGCAACAAACTCAGTCAAAAGGAGAAGACTGAGGGGGAAGTAAAGAAAGCACACCACAGAGTGCAGGCGAACATGAGGTTCGTGGGCAGCCCAAACCTTTTCTGGACAATGATGTTGGTTCGAGGAACCTCAAGGAAGCCGGTCACCGGCCCCGGAGACAAATGCCTTAAAACACCCCTGGGCACCAGTGTGTTGATGGACTTCCTGGCAAGTGCCAGTGTGCTGAGGCTTCCAGACTCTGCTGACCACAGCAAATCCTGCTGATTCGTGGGACAACAAAGAAGCATCCTTTAGGGAACACGAAATTGTGGACAATACATACTTAGGGAAATAGTTCCCATTGTTATTACTTTTTTTATTGTACTACTTGAAAGACAGAATTTGGGTTGAGTCATAAGCTATGGCATAATAACAGGAGGATGATTTTAGGTAAGAGCGGAGTATAGCACTGATGCTAAGAATGCATTTGCTCAGAGAATAATGGAACTAAAAAGAGGACTTTAAGCCAGCTATAAAGAGCAAAGAAGATCTCCTACATTTGTAGAAATAGTTACTAAAAAGAGCAGCACAAATGAAATGGAAAGCGAAACAATGCTGGAGGTGGATATACAGAGTAATTTATATAAGAAAGTAACTGGAAAGGAAGCTAGAAAGGGTATCTACATGCTTAGATGCTTATATCCTAATGTACACTGCTAAAAACGTCAGTCTGGTGTTCTTAAAGAAGGACAGAGCGAGGTGCCTGTGTGGTTCAGTTGGTTAAGCATCTGACTCTGGATTTCGGCTCAGGTCACGACCTCAGGGTGGTGAGATCCAGCCCAGCATTGGGCTCTGTGCTGGGTGTGGAGCCTGCTTGGGATTCTCTCTCTGCTCCCCCTTCCCCACTTAAATAAATTAAATTAAATTTTAAAAAAAGGACAGAGCGGGCGCCTGGGTGGCTCAGTGGGTTAAGCGATTGCCTTCGGCTCAGGTCATGATCCTGGAGTCCC